GGGGGGGGAGGGAGCAATAATTACGAGCAATTAACAATTCGATGAAAACACATTGCGGTTGCACATATTAATCGTTCGCTCTAAATATGTCTGACTGAGGTAATTGAAACTTTCATATGAAAGTCTCATGCAATTTTCACTGCATCTGCGAGCGCATCAGGATGTATCGTTCAATATAGAACAATCTACGATTATACACGATCTCGTGTACTGACAAATGGTATTCTGAAAAATACAACCTGCGATCTATATTAATGTGTATAAATCAAGTGCAAATGCAATTAAATAATTAACGTAATTAATTGATAGACAAATTATTAATTAAATTCAATAATATTTTTAATTGACGTGGCGACGACGAATTAAAATTGAGAAGAAAACACAATTTTTTTATTAGGAAAGCTCGGATATTAAATATCAAATGCGATATTTCGAACAATCCGATCGCGCAGTAAATGAAACTTTCATATATACGAAGTGTATAATTTTTATGAAAAGTAGAACACAATATTTCTCCTCGAAGAAACCTCGATTACCGAACGGTATCCCGAAAAATTTGATTGCAATCGCGGAGGATGATTGACCGCCGCGTCGATTGCTTTCCAACTAATTGCCAGAAAGTCCCCCCGGCGCGGTGCGGCGTCGAGCTTATAAATAAATGTATCACATACAAACACTAATAAAAATCTTCAATTGACCGAAATTCCGAGATATTATAAGTATACCGACTTCACAGTGTCTCGAGGAAGGATATGCAAATTGCTCGCAGATCATTAACTATAAATCGGAGCGCTCATTATCCAGGCATTAACGACCCATTAGCTTGCTTTACGCGTCGTCGGTTTTCGGAATGTATACCGCTGAGACAAAACCTTGGTTAATAACTATATATAGGTGTTAAGAGCACAAAGAGTATTTCCGATCGCGATTACGGGACGTAATCGAAGCGTTGGTCGAGCCGCGAATAATTACCTTTCCTCGATTATTAAAGCCCCTTCGGCGAGCGGAACGAGACTGAGCGTCGTCGTTCAAACCGCGCGGAGCCCGGTCCGCCACTTCGGCGCACTTCTCGAGGGAGGCTCTCCTTCTTCTCTCCGGTTCGTGAGAAGTTACGTACGGACGGCGCGACAGCCGGTTGCTATGCCGTTCACAAGAGGATAGGGGACCGGCGGTGTGTGTGCCCTCCTCCCCTCGGAGTGTGTGTGTGAGTTACTGCCGAGGGGCCCCGTCGCGCGTCGCGCGCGCCTTCCCTCTCGGTTAAGGTTCCCGGGCCCGCCGCCGTGCCGGTGCCCGGTCCGCTTGTATTTGCCCGCTTGCTCTTCACGAATGGAAGGATGTAGGAATACTAACGGTAAAAGTATGGCTGCTGCTGCGCTGACCACTTCGGGAGGGGGTTCAAGGACAGCCCGGTCTGTTGGAATCGACTCGCGCCGTCGTCGTGCGTTCCGCGCGCGGAGCTTCGCCGCCGTCGGTCGGTCCCCCAAGAGATGCGCGAGGCCCGGCTTTTATAAGCCGCGCCCGCGAACGATAGTGGCGGACTCGTTATCGGACTCTGATAATTATCGATAAACTCGCACGCCGGGGATGTATCGAAGAATGAAAGAAGGCGTGAGGGGGTTGCTGTTTTTGCGAGATAACAAACGTTTCCCCGAACTACGAATATTTCATCCCCAAAATATATGTACTTATGATATCAGAAATTAAAATTGTATTCTGAGCGAGATATCTCTTCTCATGAAAAATAACGAGAATGTTATTTATAAAAAATACAGTTTCAGAGATTTTATTACTTTTTTCTATCCTTCAGATGATTTGATTTATCTGCGATAAAATATGAGCCAAATTGCCAGGAGAGTTGAGGAGAACGCAGCTATTGTTTGATTTTAGACGATTTGGACTCTCTCATGATTAAAAAAAAAAAATTTAATTTTAATTATGTAAACATACCTAAAATATATCCACAATCTAAATTTCAATAATCTTAATTTTCTTTGTCCAAACTTTGGAGTTAATATGTTTGGAGATAATATCTCGTGAGACAAAATTTTAAGCGATTGTGTTAAGCAATAAATGTTATCGGGGAGAGTAATACAAAACTACGTTAGTATCAAACAAAAAAATAACACGTACATAAAAATGCAGGTGATTAAGGACGTGATGCAATTTGAAATGGGAAAACACGCATGAGTGCAAACATTTCTCCTATCTTAATTGAAAATGAAATCACGCTGTTTCTCAACAAACTAATATCTCATGCTACGACGCGATTTTATCACTTATATCTCCAATAATAATGTAAAACGTGTTTTAAGATATCATCTTTATATCGTTTCTTTATCGATAATCCAAAAGTTCATAAGAATAAATCAATAATAATATTATATTGATAAATGTTGTATTCAGGATACAATATAGAATTGTACGAAAGATAATAGTACTTTCACGGATAGATGAAAGCCGCCAAATCATTATCTTCAGCAATATACTATAACGATTTTGTATATGTCTATTTTTTAGTCTAATAATTATTATTATTATTAAACAAACTATATAATTTAAAAGATAAAAAGAAAATCATATTTTTTAATCGGGGCATTTAATTATTCCTGTTTAAATATTTCCTGTTTTCCACTTCTTTAAATTCCACAGACTGCAAACATTCTTAAGCAAAGTCGCATTCTCCATCAAACAATGTGGTCAATCACGATCACATTGTTTGATCATTTAATTAGTTAACTCGCACAAAATTGTTAGAGAGAACAACGTGAGTCAACAAAGTCGAGGGTTCGAACCTTGACTTGACCGTCGCGAGGCGGCGTAATGCGAAATTGCTTCCGCTGTTTCTCCGGTTCCTTATAGGTCTCGAAGAATTTGAACTTATTCGAAATTTCCGACGTTTCTACGTGGACCTCCTCGGTCGTGTCTGAGCTGCGCACCACGTCGTCTGAGACTTGACGGGCCATGAACGCCTTTCTCGCAAACGTTTCGGAAATTATCGTTATTGGACGCGTTATTGGCATTGCATGTGCGTTTTGCGAGGAACCTCTCGTTCAAAAACGAGAGACATTTGCCTCAAATGAGATATTTTCTTTGATACCGACTATATTCTTTTGAATATTATACTATCACGTAATAAATAATACAATGTAACATTCATATTTTAAAGATATTTCCCAAGGTCTTGAGTAGAAGTTACATTATGTTACATAAACGATATTTAAACAAATTTTTAAACAAATTTATCTGGTAAGAAAGATAATTTCAATAATTTTGAAATTAATTTTCTAAGTCATAAATGTATAATAAACTATATATAAAAAATAGAAGTTTTAGTGTCGTAATTTTGACAAATTCATGTCTCAATTTCCAAGATAAATGCCAATGAAGTGAGCATGACATAATCATGACATAATCGAACATAATATGTATATAATAGATGAAAGAGAGTGAACTTACGTCTCGCGCACGTCGTGAGGTTTCGGTTGGCGTTTTTGGATGGACTGGCGTCACTGGACGTGCCGTTTTCGCTGCAGACGCGTCTAATTCCAAAAAGAGCGACCGCGACTTCCTGCTGATACCTGCGTGACCAACATAGATTATCATAAGTATAGCTTATCATAAATCACTCGTAACTTTAAACTGTCAATTAGCACAGGTGATACTTTCACCCTGCGCGATTCGACGACTCATAACGGTCTATTTCTGTTCAGAACAAAATATAATTTCTCGTACAAAGCCGCTGAATAATAATATGACCTCTTAACACAGTCTTCTATTCTGTAGAGAGTTTTTGCGCGAAACAATCTCGTATATTCTAAGGAATACTAGGTTGCTTTCTTTCGAGATTTTCGCAAAGACAGTCGCGTAAGACAGGTGTATAGATATTAATATCTCAGGTCTTTAGGAATTGTTAATCTGTCATATAAAATTATTGCCTTAATTCGTTGACTACTATGAACAACTACTGTATATAACTTCAAAGCGCGAAACGATACAAACGACGAATACACTTGTTACACTTTTCACTACGACTGGACTTTCATTACGTACATATTTTCATGATCGTCACGTAATTCCTCTCCAGTCCTATACTCGCAATCGTAGCGCGGTAAATCATAATTCGATCGAGCATTTCGAATTATCATCTCGGCGCGTTTACGTCTTTTCGCAATTCTCCAGTCTTCGCGCAATTCGCAAGTCACTTAATTGCTGAAAGTCCATTTCGTACCTGCTGCGATCACCTCCTCGTCGGCTTTCTCCGGTTTCGGTTTACTGTCGGTTTCGTCGTCCGATGTCGCGATTGGCTCGCCCCGTTCGAATCTCTCTTTGAGGGAGCGAGCGTGGGCAGTCGAGTGCTGTATCTCCTCCGCCGCGTTTATCTTCGTAACGCGGTCGCTTCCGGCTACCGCCTGTTGATACATCTCCTTCATTTTACCCTGTTTACCCTGTAAACCGGAGAGAAAGAGAGAAATTAAATGGCCGTATGTCGGCGGAGCGCGCGATGTAAAGGAAAAATTATCGCATTCGAGGAGCACACAAGTTTCTCCGAGGAAAAAACTGACCAATGTACGTTGCAAAAGAAACATGTGCAGCTGTTCTCTGACAGTTTACACTTTTATGATCTTACATGCGTAATGATAATAAAAAAAAAAGACAAGCGGCTGCGTTAATATCAAAACCGTTATAACGGAGCCGCATAACTTGTTCTCTTATGCCAATAATCTACCAAAAAAGTAACAACACAACGAAGCTTGCAATCTTATTATTATAAGGTAATGACATAAGATGGCATATAATATTTTTCTCTACAATTTCACAATAAACAAATTACCAAGAATAATCGTGACCGGATTCCTGCGATTTCTTCCTTCCTAGCCTCGCGCTGAACCTCGCGCCTTCCCTGTTGGCTGGTGGTCTCCCAACGATTCTTGATGTCGTCCATCTTCGAAAAACTGATCGGTCGTTCGCGCGTGGTGCGTTTTGATTTCACGATTTCGGTTTCCACTTCTAAAAAATGCCGAAAAAATAAACATAATTACAATACAATTCAACATATCGTGGAGCGGTACGTTAAATTGATAAAAATTTTTATTAATGAAACATTGCAAAATTCAAATTTAAATTCGAATTTAATTTGAAAAATTTATATTCAACAAGTCTAATAAATCTGTAGGTTTTTATTGCGTGCCTTCTCTTTTAATATTGACTGTATCTTCTTATTGACCTTACCCTCGGTTTCCTCCGTCTCCGCTTCCTCACTTTCGCTGGACTCCTCATAGGGTATACCATTGAGCGATTCGTCCGCCACGCCAATGTCCATGCCTTTCGCTTGAAATCTGGATGAGAAAACGTGCACAGTAGTTACGGACACTCCGCATCACAGACAGTCTAGCGGTCACGCCATTACGCTTGTTGTAACATATTTACTCTATGTTTTCTCGAGTTGCAAGTTACGAGAAGGAAACTGCTGACTATTGAATACCGCGAAAATCACACTCGTACCGGCTATATGTTAAACCCGCAAACAACGTCGATTAAAAAAATTATTAATAATCGCCATGAATAAAAATCCGAACGTAATCATGATACGAATTTCGAAATTTTTTTATGTTTTTCGATAGATACTAATTACAGAAAATCAATTATAATATAGTTATATCTATAATAAGATATTATATCAACACAAGTGACAAAGAACGATTTTTCAAATATTGCAACTATATCAGTTATTATTTTTAATGTTCTTTTCTCATAAATTTTTACTATGTCTGAATTATTATTTTAATCCTTCATGTAAATAAACGCAACGATAATTGCTTTGTCGTTACTGAGAAACGCTGGTCCGACGAAATTACAGGTTCATTATTGCATATCTTCTGCAGAAGCAAATCTGTGTCACGGTATATCATATGTTTTAGAATTATCGTCGCTCACGGAGAGAACCGTATACTATCGTAAGAAAACGTGACTTGATTTTACCATCTAATATCTACGTATGTAGAAATATAGTCGAGAAAATCTTATAAATTTTATATCATAATATAAATGCACAGATTTCTTTTACCGTAATGATTTATACCGTAAAAAAATATAATCCAAGAAATATATCACTGATTACTCACTTGGCTAATTTGCTGAGGATGCTGGGCGATCTCTTGACGGCGATCTGTGACGGCGATCGTTCGAGCTCATTGGCGTTCTCCGTGCTGGCTTTCTCGAAGACTTGGAAGCGCGACTTGACGTTTAGGCTTGAGAGTTCCTCGAGTCCCAGATCGGGTTTGTCGGAAGCTGAAATTCAGATGGAGATCTTCTTACTCCTCTCTTTCAGCGATACTCGTCGCTGTTCAAACATTTCAACACCCTCTCCCTTTCTCTCGGACGGTAAACTTGTTAGACCACTCGAGAACGGACGATTCGCGGAAAAAGTAAGGTTGCACACACGACACGAAAATTCTGAAAAGCTTCGAAAGTGATGAGGAGAGCTAAAAGAATTTCATATCGAGAGAGAGTTGAATCGATCGTACCGACGTGATAACGTATACCCAGGTCAAACACGAGCTACAGCGTTCGATTTCAAACATCGATCACGTTACGGCTCTTACAAACTTCTTTCATTTTTCCCATGGACGTCGCGTCGCATGCCACTGCGACGAGATACCATCCAATTGTTCGCTTTGCTCTCGATAGTTATTGATATATCGTGTATAACTAATATAGCTTTCTTGCGATATACAATCGTATAACGTCTCTCACAAATAGAAAATTTTGATCTTTGATTTTGAAGTACCTACTTCTTCATTTCAATTCGCCAGTAATATTGGAGACTACTGTGTATACAATTCTATAATGTGTTTAGCGATAAATTTTTTAAAGACTCTGGTCAAGTAAAATGATTAAAAGACACATATGCATTGGCACACGTACAATATATATTAAAGAGGATTTTGCACGTGAAATTAATGCATGGAATGCGTTAAGGGTATTATCACATAATTGAATGGTATTGGTCACTTTTTCATGCAGACAAGAAATTAATTTTAATATCGGGAGTGGAATTATCTACAAGTTACATTCGTAATTCTATGGAATACATCAGTGATTCACGTCGCCTCGCAGGCGTCCTCGAGAAATATTGCACATGCCGACTAATGAAACGCCCGGCGTCGATGATGATTCACGTCCCGTTTTATTAATCGGCACGCCGATATGCGGGACGCGTACGTTGCGCGATTTGATGCACAGATAAATTTTCGATTCGGCAGCCAGTCAGCGGTTAAGAAGCCACTCGTCAAAACGGACACACCGAGCGTTAGGAGCAATCGTCAGATCGCACGTTTTCACGCCACTCACACACGTCGAATGTCGCTGTTGCTGTTTGTCGTTACCTCTGACCACATCGGGCGGCAACTCTTTCGGCTCGTTCTCCCGTATGATCAGCTCCGGCTTTCGAGGTCGCACTGCGGAGTTCACAAGACAACTCTTTGTCGCATTAACGATACCTCTCATTCTCTCCGCGCGCGGACGCTTGCGTGTAATTATACAGGGGCGAGGAGAAGGAGGAGGGAAGGGGACCGAAGAGAAGAGAACAGTCTGTAATTCTAGCCCCTGTGCTAAGGGGCTTAACAAACTGGGTCTCTCTTAGACGACCCACCGACGGCACTCGGGACCCCTCTAAGTTATGTCGGCACATTAAGGCAGCATTACAGTGTTATACCTGGATTCCATATACTATTGTCTTCATTACACAGAGAACCGAGCCATATTTCTTATACCATTATCTCTACATCAATGACAGAATCTTACTTCTAATTGTCTATAGTCGTACACATTCGTCCTCTGACATGTATATATCGCGCTCTTAAAATAAAAAAGCGGGGGGAGAAGGGGGGCACACGAATACGTATAATTATAATCTGCGACGAGCACCGCTGGAATGAATCAAGCGCGGCGTTGATCGCGACGCGAAAGGAACTTATGACGCCGATGACGCCGTGAAAGCGAACTTTATCTCCTCCAGTTTTTCTGTCCATTTCTGTTAAAGCGTATCTATATGTTTTTACGTTCCTTTAATGCGCTCCGATCGCGAGGGTCGGGGCTCGCTTTGTCCGCAACAAAGTTTGCCACAGCCGAGGAGATTAGCGGCGAGACGATGGAATCGACGGTCGGCCGTTTAAGCGTCCGCGTTAAGATTTAACGAGTAATGCGTAAAGACGATCCGTTTAAGCAGATTAGCGGCTGCGGCGCGCAGTGTGCGCGCCGGTACGCGTATATACGCGCGGTGCATTGCGCGGGACGGTAATCATCTTACCGGGCTGGTCGGACTCCTCGACCGGTTTCGGTTGGAAGAGCTCCTTGAAGTGTGGCTTACAGTAGAGCGTGCTCTCGTGGCTCTCATAATTGTCTACATTGAGCTGCTTGCTGCACTGCACGCACCGGAAGCAATTCTTGTGCCAGACCAGACCCTCGGCCTTTGTCTGCTCCATTTGGAACACGACCTTGCCGCAGCTGCGACAGTTCGTATTCGCATCGGCATTCTGACCCACCTGCAATGCACCAGTGCGCCAATTAATTAGCACCTTCGCAACTTTCACTCTCCCTGATGCCTGCGAAGAAGCGAGAGGACCCTGGGATTCGATTCGGTTAAACGCGCGTGTATTGGAGTGCACGGAATTTATCGTTTGCGAAATAATAATTTAAAACGTCAGTTTAATTGAAGGAAAAATTTGTAAAATTTTGTTATCGGGTATGGAGTAATTTTATTAAAGTCAAAGGCTAATCACATGCAAATTGCTCTACATTTATTTAACTACAAGCTATTTGTAAGTAATGACTACAAATTGCGATCATCAAATAATAAATGGTAGCGACAAATTCTTTACGTTAAATATAAAATAAATAATGGAGACTTACGGCATTCAGCTGCTGCTGGACTTTCCCCGCGTCGACCGAGCGCACATGAAGCACTGTCTTCTTGGTAAGAGCGTCGAACTTGTTAAAGCTCGATTTCTGGAAATACAAGCGACAGTGATGTCAGATAATAAGCACTAAACGTCAAGAAGTTGAGAGGGAAGAAAAAAAAGGAGAAGTATATGCGAAAGTTCCGCAGGCACCACATTTTTTTTCTAGCATTATTGAACGGAGCAAGAAAATTGTATTCTTCGGTAACCCTTTATTATCGAAATAAAATGCAAGCAGAAATAGGGAAAAAAGTAAGCAGACAAATCACCATCGTGCACAAATGGAAATTGTACGTGCAAAATTATTAAATACAGATTGTTCGCATATATGATTGAGATATTTATAACTACGACTTCAATTCGTAACTATAATTCTTTTGAAAAATAATTTCTCTTAGAAAAATAATTTTTTAATCGAAAGAAGGCAATATTTTATTGTACAATTCCACTGTATTTCCATATTTCAATTTCTAATTTGCACGAGGCATTTATTTTCCGAGGAGAGATCGTACAAAGGTTTGAAAACGAGCAAAATCAATCGCAAGCTAAGCAAGCGAAGCACATATTTCTATCTTCTCCTGAGAGCAGCAAACACAATTAAAAACAAAAAAAAAGAGGGAAAAATTCGAATCACACCTCTGTACGAACCGACCTTGTCATGCTAAGGTTTTTTATCTCTCTCTCTTCCTCGTCGGAGTCTTACCTCGAACTTCGGCCTCTCGCATGCCAGATCCTTGTCCTTACCCTGCTTCGTTAAACTTGCCAAACTACAGTAGGAAGCCCTCTGTTCCCCCGGGGTTGGTTTCAGTGATTGTCAATTTAGGATTTCGCATGCCGGGAAGAGGTGTAACGTCGCGCAACAATGAGAAGAAATGGGCCGCGGGTTAGTACGGTTTAGTGTAAAAAAAAAAAAAAAAACGAAAAGACATACGAGTGGAGAGTGAGACACGGTAAGCCGATTACCGTATCTCAGGACACAGCAGTTAGCGAGCTCGCGACACTCCGCAGTTACGACGTCGTCGAACGACGCGGCCGGAAGTTTCAAAGTTGCAATCCGCGCATCGAAAGAGTTCCGCGGTTGAGAGAGGACGAGCGCACGTTCCCGGAGGTGGAGACGACGGTGCTTCAGGCTAATATTTACTTTCGAGAGTATCAATTTGTTTCCTTTTTCTAAGCCAGCACTCTACGCAGCACACTCGATAAAACGTATGCATTATGTTCTCGAGGCGTATGTGCGGGAGAAGACGATTTTCCACGAAGAACCGTCGACCGGTTGCCGTCTTTAATATTGCGCCGCAATACTGAAGACATCTACGCGAAGCTGCACGAAGCACCGCATTGCTAATCGATCTCTCTCTCTAATGCGATTGAATACCGCATTCGCAGCCTGTTTCCCGCGTTGAATTATTTACAGCTTCTTGTGAAGAATCCGTTAAAAAAAAGGAATTTTTTTTTAGTGTGACAAGCAAGAAAGTACGCTACTTTTGGCTCGCTTGGTATACGCGCCAGGCGTTTTAATCGCCGAGCGAAGCTCTGCCAATTGCTGCGTCGAACGACCAAGGGAAAGGGGAATAAAACGAACGGACAAAGAACAACATTGGAAGTAGCGCGGAATTATCCGTTGAGTCACACGGGCGATCATTTCGAGTCATGAATTCACTCTTTATCTCGAATTGACTTTGCTTTCGGTACCGTCATATCGATGCATCAGGATACATTCCTCGGCAAACGATCGCGATCACTTAGTCGCTCAGCAGTATCAATTGTCGCAGATACGATATTTCTACATTTTCGGCGTGTGATATTAACAGTCAAGTTATTGTACTTTACGCTTTTTCTTAATTATTGGAATAAAAAGACTTTTAAATTAAACATCATCAGTTATGCAATTTTCTGGTAAGACCGAAACTCATTAAAATGTAAAGTATCGCATTTTAAATACTGTTACTTCAATTCTTGAATATTTATTTCACTTAAAAATGTAAATGTCTCGTTTATTAATATTTATTTATAAACGCTTATTATTATCTTCTATTTATTTCGCCTCAGAAGCGATCGTAGTTAACTTGTCTCGATTTTGCATTTTCAAAATAAAACGTTCAGCGAGCGTCGTGATCTTCGTTAATTAGCGACTCGCGAAGAAGCCCGACCCGCTTTTCCCTCCGCTTTTCTTTCCGTATTCGCACTCGTGAGGAAAAAAACCGCGAAAGAGCACACGAAATTCCGATGGAATGCGCTACATCCCAGACGGTGTTCTCAGCGGGAGGCGAAGTCGCACGTCGAAATCCCGATAACCGCGTGACCGATAATGCAGGGTAAAAAAAAAACTCGTAATCGACATCCGGACCCTGCGTTTCCCCGTAATCGGCTGAAGTAGGGCAAATAAGTAGTCTGTTATTATCAAGTCGGCCCTTCCATAAATGGAGAGACGGCATTCGCGGCGTGACGGTAACTACTCCGGCATGCGTGTGGCGAGTTTTCAGTGTGCGTAGCGGTGTACTTGACCACGAGCATACACTCCGGAGAGTGTTGTCCGAATATTTTTACAAATATTCCTTCCGCGTATTTACCATTAAATTTTTCCAAAACAACTGTCATTTTCATGAGGAGACGTCTGGCAACGCGAACGCGCGTTACAAGCGTACTATATACGTGCTGATCGAACGCAACGTTGCGTTCGCTTCGCTTACATTCGCAATTAATGCAAGCGCGGTATATATAAATGCGTAATCGGCCGCCTCCAGGTACCGTAGGATAGAACAATTACACGCCCACCGCGAGAGGCTCTATAGATCGTTACTCCCGAGTAGAAATTGCCGATCGCGAACTTTGATAAAATCCTGGTTTCATTAGACCGAGGCGCCCGCGCGCGCACGCTTTATCTAACGTTATTCCATTCGCTCGACTGACTTCAATGTTGTCCGTGCCGTTTACTAGAGGTACTTACGAGGGCCTTGACCGACACCCTGGCGAAGACGGGTGCGTCTCTGCTGAACCGCGAGTAACCCTGCTCGCATACTCTCAGATCACCCATCGACCTCGCCTTCTACGATCGGGGCGAGAGAGCGTCAACGAGAATACAAATTAGCGGTGAGTAGTTTCGAGAGACGCGAGCTCTGCGAAATATTGATCGCAAGCGATAACGGAGCCGTCTTATCAATCAAAATTTCGATAATCGACGTTATAGAGGTTCTTGAAAAACCGCCAATAAAAATACTTCATATGCTGCACAAAATTTTTCAAATTTTACACACAATATTTTATTTTATTTATCTTCAATTGCGACGGAATTTTGGAACATTATTTGATTTAACATTAATTATAATAATAAAGATGATCTTTTGAAAATAAATTTTATTATTATCTTCATAATTTTACTATCTCGCGTAAAAGGATAAAAATACTTTCTACAAGAATATAATTATGCTATTATTAGAAATTTGTGTCACAGAACTCGCGCTCCAGATGCAATTAGTATAGGTACTATCGGGATGTTTATTTGCTTGGAATTTATGTAATATACTGACGCCACATTATAAAGCAAATGTCGAAAGTGGCTCATGCAACGACAAAGATTACACAATGCATTTTTCATTCCTGTCATACACGCCGGAAATTAATTTGCAACATCGTTAATAAGCATTCGCATGCTTGCAAATTTTGTCTAGATACCTGAACATTTCTTATCTTATTACTATGACTAAAAAGTACTAATTACTAAAATGTGCAAATAAAAATTAATAACACATTTATCAAGAAAAACATGCGGGCTTCTGCTATTTCAGATAACTGTCATAAAAAATCTTGTATTTTTTTTTTAAGAATTTCATTGTTTTTAAAAATATATCTTCAAGACTATCTCTTGTCGTATAAAAAAAGTCTACTAATTTGAGTAAAAAATAAAAATTTTAGTCAAAATTTGCTGTTGTAACATCACTTTCAATTACATCGACTAGGACAAGAACAAACACGAGACATTCGCGATGCGGACAAAATTAGTACAATATACAAACCTCCTCGGTTTCCCTCGCGTGGCTCGCTTTCCCAAAGGTCGCCTGATCGCCGTCGCTCATGTTCGAGATGTCGCCAAAGCTGCGACACTGTTAGTGACAAAATATATATCTGACAAATGTATCAGCTATTAACGAAGCAGATATGTGCGGCGAAAGCGTATGTTATTAATTAAATCGGTATCTCATCGAGATCGAGAAAATTGGCCTTCCCGATTCTACGAGGAGGAAAGACCTGCACGATGGAGTAATTGACGACAGACTATCCGGCATGCCCGCTATCTTCCTCACGTGTCTTGTTTCACTGCAAACGCGATCGAGCCGGCTGCATGGTTATTATACTTACTAATTGCTTGATGGACACGCCGGTCGCAATCCGCTCCCTGCACAACTTCTCCTGATCGCTACGACTTGTCTCCGAGACATAGTTCTGTGTCTGCATGCGCAAAAAGAAAAAGAACAAAAATGCAATGCAGGCGGTATAATGCATGCAGCAACGTATGCGTATTATATATGTTCGGAATGTTTTTACGCAGTCTTACGCAATCGCAAAATAATTACTAGAAGCATAATTTTCGCAGGATATTTATCTCATTTAATTATATGTACCTACGTTAACATCGATCGCGTAACACGCGTAATTCGCACGGATTTGCTTCAATCGGGAAAATATGGATTCTTCACTTTGGATTCGAGATGAATATGCCCCGTCATTACGCTTGCTCGGGTAAATTTTAACGTTCGCTGGGAGATCACGCTCGTGTGACGGTAAAATTACACATGCAATTCCCGAAAGTAACAACGTAATTTCGTCGGCGGGCTTAATCAAACAGCGTAGATAACTCTTAATTGCTTAATGGAGAGATTGTACGCCCTGCTGCGCCCGCCGCTAATTATTTAGAGCCGCGCGCTCTAGCCGTTCTCTCTCGCATCTAGTAGATCACGAGGTGAGTGGCCGGAGGTCAGGATAAATTTCTATTCACGCGTCTATTCATCTCGCCGGCTGAGTAACGAAGCTGGAAAATGGTACTTGCATCTCGCATAAATGCAACGCGCGCGAAACAGCTCGTCGCTGGAAAAACAGCTGTGCTCGCGAGAGAAGTGAGGGTAAACGAGAGGAAAAAAAAGGAGTGCCTGAGAATATGGGGCGTTCCGCGAGATCTGTCTTAAATGTCAAAAGTGCTCCTTACAATGAATACCATGTTAATTCTCTGATAATATGAGCGTGAGCTATTTCATACTGGAGATTTAATTTTCAAGGCGCGTATAATATCATTAATAAAATTAGATTGAAGACTCGTGAGAGTCGAGAGGATTAGATTATTATTCTGGCTGTAATTATTGGGTGTGTAATTTGCGGTTAATTCTCAAATACGTACGCTTCAGCGCAACTTACCAGTGACTTAACATTGACGTTCGATAAATCGTCCTCGTCGGAAAAATCGATCATCTCCGAATGCGATCGCCGAGTGCCCGTATGCATGCTTGCGTCTCGTAAGCTACAGTTCTGATGGAAAAACAAAAGAAACACGAAACACACTGAGCATGCAACTGCATGAGAGATTAATAAGCTGCGTCTACGCTAATCTGCGCCGAGCCGTTAGTCGCGTACGATAATCAAAGGCAGGAATAAGTATTACACGCTCCGCGTCGAGTCCGCGTTTCGCTAACAAAACGCAATCTCCACATTCGATTTTCAGAAACACGATTAGACACTTTAACATCTAAATCTCTTTCGTTCGCAAATTTTTTGATCGATCGACATCTATACGTACTTTATCTTACATTTATAGACGTATTAAGCTTTGTTTTTTATATGAATATATGTAATTTGCTACACTTCGTCCGCACAGATGGCCACGCATAATTAGACGATATTACACACACATACGAAAGCACATTAATTCATAAAGAAAATAGAAATTTAAACATAATCTGTATAGCACATAATACAAAATGTAATACCTTAAATAAACAAATATGATAACGGTACAATACTAGCATATACTCAACATTTTCTTTTCTTCGTTTAGCCAATCAGAATGTTAAATATATATTATTTAATAGAATGATATCGTCTAATCATTTTTTTTTCTTACCAACGTTAACATCATAAAGGATGATTTTCGGAACGGAAGTAAAATCTCCACTGTAGCTTGGCTGTAATTGCGTGCAGAGGACGCGAGGCCCCGCAAAAAGGAAACGTCGCGATCACGATCGATATCGCCCGCGCTCCACTTAATAGCGCTCTCCGATATCGGTCGCGATCGCGTATCAGATCTCCGATTCCGAGAAGAGCGTCAGGCGGTAGAAAACTCGCTTCTATCTGTGCCGACGAAATCCGGAAAAGCCGGCGGGCCGGCACATGCAGATGAGACACTAAAAGCGCGAGCTTCCGGTTTTCACCGGCGCGCGATCGCGCCGGCGGCGAGTTTTACCGGGCAAAGTGATAATTAACACGATAACGGTACCGTGCGCGCAGTGATTTCGTATCCGCGCTCGCAACACATGTCGTAGAACCGCCCTCAATTATGTCCCCCAAGAATAGGTATAGCGGCGATTTACTCGGTAAAAAATCGCGTTGTGACATGTATATCGTCTTGTCGATAATCAGTACAGAACGTAGCAAATTAGTAGATGCGAGTAAATTAATAGATACGAGTATAGTCGCGTGACACAGCATGTCCCAGAACAATCGTCGATTTTGTTCATTCATCGATCCTTTTACCAATCTGTTAAATCGAAAATACCAACAATTAAATCGATAACAACTGACGGCACCTTCAACGATAGGTAGTTCGTAGAAGATCTTTTTCGATTGATATCGCGTGACGTTTAACTAAACATAACTTTTCAATTTGATATCCTATCAAATTTTCATTCGGGCGAGACCGCCACGCCACGACGATTAGAGAACACGTACCGGTGAAAGGATAGCTGCGGGACATCCCGCGCACACACGTGCGCGTCTATCAAAACGATTTATAACTCACCACGGAGATGTTCTCCTTCTCGAGATCGCTCTTCTTGCTCTTCTTGGTTTTCTTTGTGCGCGGCGTGAGGTTCGGCGAGGTGGCATCGTTACCAGCGACGCCCTCGATCTTCTTCTTCTTCGTTTTGGTCCCGCCCTTCGAGGAGGTCACGGTGGAACTGGTGGTCACCGTTTCCTCGCGGCTTTCGCTCTGCGACGAAAAAAAGAAAAGAGATACAACGTGTGTTACATCTGGACCGTTTGGAATAATTTTTTTTTCGACGAGACACCGCGGCGTCGAAAAAAAAATCTCTCTCGAACGATTAAAGTGGGTGATTTCTTCATGATTGAATGTCTCTTTCGCCAACTGGCGTGGGTGGGCACGCGGTCCTCGGAAAAAGAGTAGACTCGGAGAAACTAGATTTAGCGTGCGCCATTGTTGCCGCTTGGATTCAAATGGTATTTATTGCGCACGCCGAGGTATGGTGAAACCGCGGGTCCCTGCGGTCCCGCGACGCGGAAGTTTACGTTCGCCTAACGAACACGATTTGCAAGCAATAATATCGATTTCACGGCGCGGTAACGCAATATTCCCGAATGTAAAAGTGCACGGCAATGAAAAGAGTGACGTTAGTGCGCTCATTACGTTATCTTCGCCTTTTGACGTTTCGCCGACGTTCTTGGTTATATGGGAGATAAATCTTCATCGTCTTTTCACAGGCAAAAGAATTTCTGCGAAGTCTATTTCCTGTTCGACGCGGATAAAACATCGATTATTAAACTATTATGGGCTAAACGTGTGGAAAATGAAAGCTAGATTGACGCTAGTCAAAAAGCGCTGCAGAAGTAATAATAAATTAAATGACTATATAAATGATTTTTTACGCTAACAGCATAGTCGATAGAGCTTTCCGACAATTTTACAGTAAAATAAAAATTGAAATTGAATTTCTTTTGTGTTAACAAAACAAATTGTCGCTCCAAAATCCATTTCCGACACACATCGCGCACTTTATTCCCGTTTCATTTCCGACGATCCCATTCGTTCTCGTCATCCGAGAACGTAAGTATACGTGAGCGTGGCTAACGTGATCATCCACACGTTAGAAAGGCAAGATTTCAGACGGAATATTTGTTTAATCGCGCAGCTTCACCTGCGAACGAAACTAGTCCGATATCGCGTACGGCGCAATTAAAACGTCGTTCGCCTACGTGATTCTCGGTCCGACTCATAACTGTCCGGCTGGTAATAATCCAAGCCTCGCGTTTAACGATAACGCGACATAAGGTAACGGAATAGTTATTAAGAGAATTATGCGAGACGAGAATGCCAACAGAGGAAAAAAGATGGAGGATTATAGATTTAAAAAAATTGGGATTACAGATTAAAAATGTGCCTTCTTTCGTCTGCTTCGTCTCGAGCACACAGCGATTTGGCCTCGGTACATTCGAAACGCGAAAAGAAAACGCTCGGACGCGGGTATCAGAGACGACTGATAAGAGCGTCGAGTTTTCATGGCTCCAACGATTTATACGCGATGGCGTAATTGCTCGACAGGTATGGCCGTCCGACAAGGAAGATTTCCGATAAGCCGCGCGCGCGAAAAGCAATATTCCGGAACGGAATATGAGCTATGCGAGCGTGGCGCAAAGCGCGACATAATGCGCACCGACACAATCTCGGCCGCGACGTTTGACTATTAATTATCCGGCGTCGAGAAATCGGCACGACGCGATTGCGTGACTGTCCGAAATTAACGAATGTAAACGGTAATTAGATGAGAGATATGTAAAATCAGGATATGATGAATAATTTTTATGTAAAATGCTCCATATAAGTTAAGAAATATTTCAATTTGATGGGTCCTTTTAACAAATGTCTACGATAAACTTTTGTTGTAACGAAGAACTGAAGGATAGGTACGATAAGTCGACGGAAACTTTTCTCTCGGTAAGGTTTTCTTGCTTTTAAATATTTAACAATGAAGAAACTTAAAGCTACTTTGGGAGAAACATGCTCTGCAAATCGCCACTTGAGAAATAATCCTGGCACACTTCCCAATCCTCTCTCAAGGTCCTTCCGAACAATTGGAGCTCGTAACAATTTCCCTGTAACCACCAGCACAGTTTACGGTACTCCCATACTTACACACTCTCTATTCGAAGCACAAAAGTGAAGTTTCAAGTATACGCTACCACAGATTATTCGTCTCTCTCTTTCTCTCGTCTCGAGAAACCGGAAGACAGTCGCTTCCGACGTTCTCCAACCCGTACTCGCCGAGAACTTTCTCGTGAATGCAATCCCGAGATCACATCATCACCAGTTCACAACTTATTATCACCCCGAACCACACAATCCGGACCTTCTTCCTCGGACTTATCCGACGCTGGTCCGTAGAGCAGCCTCTAGCACCGACACCGGCCACGCAGAATGACGAACGTGCGTCCACCTTGGCAACGGGGTCGACGAAAGCCGACGAGAAGAACGGAAGGAGAAAGAACGAGCGGCCAGTGCTGGGCTTCAAGCGCGAACGAGATGGCCGGTAATCGAAGCGAGAGTGGGAGCAAGGTAGAGAGAAAGAGAAAGAAATAAAGAGAGAGAGAGAGAGGGAGAGGGAGAGAGAGAAATAAGAAGAATACGAGGAGAGACTGAAGGAAAAAGGCGAATGTTCTTGTTCAACAACCGTGTCGTCTGGTGCGCGCACCTCCCCCGCTCACACTCGAGAGTTTATCCTCCTCCACAAAACTTTTGTCGCGACCCCGCGGCAGCAGATAGGTCAGGCCGATCGTTGTCCAGGTCGTACCTGATCGATGATCATCCTCGAGATCGCTCCTCGGGACGTGAACGGACGCAACCGCGCTGCGTGGTGCCTCGGAGATGTCTGAGGTGCCGAGGAGAGCGTGCGTCTACGTAACGGGTTCAGGAAACTCGATGCTCTCCAAAGCGTGGCACGCAGCGCGCGGTTTCCCGCCGCCAACGATTGGCCGTTTCCACCGGGCACGTGGAGCCGGTTGGCCAGGTGAGAGAACTCTTGGACTCTCTTGGCTGCTCGGCGAGCAGAACCGTACCGAGGCGAGGAATGTTCCAGGGGGAAGCGGCCGAGGAGGATTGTGGACGCGCCGTTAAGAAGTTGCGCGCAGCGTACGATCGACTTTGACGTGACCTCGATCTTGGTCAGCCCTTAATCAGCGACATCCGTCTGGGCAAGTGGCCTTGATAGGTCTTGCGCTTGATTAATTTTTTTAATATCATAAATAATATAGTTTTAAGAACTAATTTTCCAAGCACGAGTCGATGAGTTAAAATAATTGTTTATATCGCAGATACATGATCGCTTATTGTCCCGTTTTTTTTAAATCCCTTCCACCGTTTATCATGCTGCTACACACGAAATTAATCACGAAAAACGACCATTATCTCTCCTTAAAACTACACCGTATTTACAGATAATGAAGGTAGAAACCGCAAGGAAGTAAATCGCTTAAGATATAATTATCAAGCACAGCAGACTGCTCCAAATACAGAGTTTAAGAGATTGTTGCCAATTAAGGATTAAACGCGTCTCGAGATTTTGGAGAATTAACTACCCTCCCTCCCTTTCTTCGTCTTTCAATTCGGTCGAGTACGCGAATGAAGAACCGTCGCGTTATAAGCGACCTTTTCGCGGGTCGCTATATGAAATTCGTGGCGATAAGCCGGCTTCCGTTGTGACTGCAAGTCGTGCATTTGCATGAGATTTGTGGCGTGAGCGATCGTCACGCGCCGCTGATCATAGAAGGGTGTAACTTCGAGGGTATCGAGGAGATAAAGGCAGATAATACACGTTCGCGTTCTGCGAGTAACGAGTTGTTGCGAAAGGCAACGTCGAGGTTGCAATTGCGTGGAAGTACTATACGCGAAAATAGATGGAGAATCGTAAGAAAGAGAGGGGAATCAATTTAACACTTACTCGGACATATTTGATCCTGATTATTAAATATGTGGCGAGGGTTGGACAGTTAATCGAATAAATCGATAAATGTTATTCCTTCGGCGACTCGCGCTGCTATAAATAGTAAGAGAAACATAAATTTACTAAACTTAGCGCATCGATATCGCGGATTATACGCGGAGTTTACGCCGCGGGCATTCGCGAGGAATCCCTTACCTGGAGGGCCCCCGGGACTGTCGAAAAATAAAAGAATAAACGAGATTAATCGCCCCCTAACGTGTAAAAACATGCGTAGGAGTTACGTAGAGCGATGGCGCAATTAGTCTTTCAGAAATTGCTAGGAGGATCGGATCCACAATGCGCGCGCAGCGAATTATCCGACGCAAGCAACAACCTGAACGCGCGCGCTGTTAAGTTATGGCGCTTGTATTTCTCTTGCGCAACGTGCGGAATATGAGTAACACCGAGACGCGTTCTCCGCGCCGAACGTTTGCAGCTTTACGTCACAAGCGCGAAGCAACCCTATCGATATCGAGGCACATAAATTATATAATCTGAATTGTGTGTAAAGTCAAGAACGTTACGACGTTCGGAATTATACGATGCGGGATCTGATCGACAATTACAATGATAAGCAATATCACACAAGAAACGATTAATTTTTAAGAAGTGAAAGAACGATCTCACTTACGACATTGACGTAAAATGGAGCAAATCACAGGCTATTAATTATCTCGATAAATCGTAAGAACAATTGTTACGCCTACCTGTACGAGCGAATGCGATGGCTCGAAGGAAAGTGCTCGCGCCCTCATTCGAGGCTGTGAATTTTCTCAACGCTTCGTATTCATGAGAAATATTACACGAGGCACACGTCATCGTCACAGAGTTTACGGTAGTGACATATTAATTGATTTTACTGTGAAAATAGTCGCGAGTGCGAAGTTTCGATTTATGCAGATCGGCGTTTTCGATTGAATCCCTTCGAGCCTTCCCTCCTTCGTCGCTCGAGCGGGCGTCGAGTTAATTCACGAAAAAAAAAAGCACACTTACGTCGCAGGCGTTAGAAACGTCGCTCGTCTCCGTCTCGTCCGGTGTGGCCAGGGGCGCGCGGGGCGACGAGGGTGCGAGGCAATCGTCTTGCTTGCCCTCATTATCGTCCCTCGTCGCGTCGCGTTCCGCCACGGCCGGCGCGTCCCGCTCCTCGGCGTCCGCCGATTTCGTGGCCTCCTCGACCGTGGTCCACGAGTCGAGATTCCCGACCTGCTCGGCGGCGAGCTGCCTCGTCTCCGAGAAGATCGTCACGCTCGTCTCAGACACCACGACCTCGGTTTTTTCGATGAAAGTCGAATCGGACGCCGAGAACTCGCTCGAGGACTCGTCCACCGGATTCTGCGCGTCTTCCGCGACGGGACACTCCGGCGATTCGTTTTCCAGGATCGATCCGGACGTTGCCTGCGATACTACAATCTGCGGTGCCTCCTGATCGACCTCCTCGTTCAGTACGCGGCGTTCTGTGTCGAGGAACTCCTGCGTACTGGCCATCTCCATCTCGGACTGGCTGATGTCGTCGGAGAAACGAGAATCCTCCAGTTTCGCGTCGGCTTCTTCGATCGTTTCGGAGAGAGACGATTTCTCTTGACGGATCAGCGACGCCGGAATCTCCTCTTCCTCCTCGACACGATTGTCTCCATGGGAATCATTAAGCGTATCGATATGTTCGTTCGTGGAAGACTGTTCACTTGTCGAAAGGGACTTCTGCTTCTCGTGGTTCCGATCCTGCGAATAAAGCGCCTCGTCGAAGTTGTCGGAGAACCGACCGGCCTGCTGCTGGCCGTCTGAAAGCGGCGCCTGCTCGGTCCACGTGTCCGAAATACCGACGTCCGCGCCCTTCCTTTCCTGTTCGACGCAAAGGGGATCCGTGTCGTCCAGCGTCTGCACCAATTCTTCCTTCCGTTGGTACTTATCTACGGGACAACTCGCAGGAATCGGAAAAACCTGAGAGCTCGACCCGTCTACGAAGTCGTTTGTGACATTGCCGGCGTGTCCTGGATCGTCCGTGGGTGGCACGACTTCCTTGACAATAGCCTGACAACCTTCGCTGTTGTCGCTAACGTCGACAGCTTCGTCGCGGCTCGACTCCTGATCGCCTTCGCTCGTTTTCTGAATGATTATCGGCTTGTCGCCGGCTTCCGGTTGCTCGACGAACGTCGACTGAACCTCTTCCTGGTCGTGGAAGCGCACCGGCTCCGGTGCGACCTCGATGTCCGCGTGATGCGGGGACACGTGACCGTTCCGATGGCCGTACGCTTCCTCGATCTGAGAATAATGCTCGCTCTCGGCCGCTATGAACTCCGCGTTAATGTCGACGGGGTCCTGCCGGCAGTCCAGGACGATCCTCTTGATTGTCTCCGGTTGAGCGACGACGTTCTCGGCCTCTTCGACGCCCTCTTCGTCGTCATTCGTGCTCGAGCAGATCCTCAACGCCAGCTCACTCTCTATCAACTCCTGCAGACTCTTGTCGTCGTTCTCGAGCTCGTTACGCGTATTGTTTGTGAGTACGAGATCGTCATCGTCGCACAACGAAATTAGTTGGGTGTTACTCGCGGTTAGATCATCCAAATCAATCAAACCGTTGTTAGATTGAACACCGCACACCTCGTTCTTCTTGCTACTTACTACATTGATCGACTTCTTCGTTGCCACCTCCGCCATCGTGGTTCCTCGTGCGATCACACCGTGGACACCTGGAAAGAATTTCGATCGTTTTAGTTTTGGATCATCAAGGAGATTAAGATTAATTAAAAATTTAATTTTAAACATCTTTTTAATATATTATACTTGAGCGACACTAAGCAAGTGCAAATCGAAGACATCTCTGAAAAATGTTAATGCGATAATCCTGTTAACTTTCCTTATATGTCGTATTATCTTAATACCTTTATAAGAAATATATTAGAATAATAAGAAAATAAGCTTTCTCTCTCTCTCTTTCTCACTCGCTCACTCAACGTCTTTTCCCTTTCTCTTACTCGCAAAAAGGATGTATAAAGTTATGGGTGACTGTGGATTAATACAGAGATGAAACTGGGCAACGGGAACGCGAAATGTAGGATCGATAAATAACACTTATGAGCAACCGGTTTCTATATGTAATTTCGAGCTAGAAAGTGCGAGACATAATAAAAATTCTTCGGGACGTGCTACTGTGAAGCGAAAAAATGTAAGAAGGTGCGTGTCAAATTAACGTTTAAGAGACGTAATAAAATAGATTAACGTTTTAATCGATGTAATAAAAGACGACGTTTATTTCGATAAAACGGCATTTTCCTCGTGAATTGAAACACAAAAATACCAAGGCACACCCATATTCTCGTGAAAAATAAAAATTATACATTAACATATCAAGGTCAACTTTATAAAGACCGAATTTTTATGTGTGAGGCCGAACAAATTCCCAGAAATAGAAACAATTATATTTGAATATTCTGTTAATTGTCTTTTGTAAGATTTTCCTAATTAGTTGTAATCGCTGGTAACAGCGCGATTGATTGACACGGCGATATTTAAAATATATTCTCAATATAATCCGTTTTCTATTCGATATATGATGTGAGCATGTGAATGTGATCTCCACGACCCGCGCGCACTTGACTTTCACCGTATCGATGTGCAAGAAAAGCTCTTCAGGTACGCGCGTGGCAAACCATCTGCCACTCGATGAAGTAGCGCCGGTTTATGGTTATGCAAAATAAAGCCCGCGCAAGTGGTCGCGGCCGCGCAAGATCACGGTCAAGCGGATATGTAACGTGCCTGTTAGGCAACTTCTTGCCGATCCGATAATAATTAATGTTCGACGAAATGCGATTTTGATGCGATTAATTCTTCAGGCGATGATACATATCGTTAGACATCGAAAGAATTAGAAGATATATTATTCAGTAAAAGAGCAGTAACTTTTGTGCAACGTAAATATTAGCACATTTTTCCATTGCACCTGTTAATTAAATTCATATTATCTAAACTTGCATTAAGGGGTAATACCACTTTGATCGCTTTGAAATTTAAGGGAATCTTTTTTAAATGCAAAGTGTTTATAAAAATCCATTTACACTCATTTATTTTACATATATTAATGTATTTTTTGAGTTGATATATTAAAAAATAGCGGCTTGACAGCTGATGGACAGGAGAAAAGCGGTGGACACGATAACTCATCGTAGACTTGACCTAGAACAATGAAACAAAAAAAATTAGTTTTTTTAGTCCAAAAGCTAGTAGAATGTTTTTGAACTAAAAAAAACTAATTTTTTTTGTTTCATTGTTCTAGGTCAAGTCTACAATGAGCTACCGCTTTTCTCCCGTCCATCAGCTGTTAAGCCGCTATTTTTTAATATATCAACTAAAAAAAATACAATTTCTACTTTAATATATGTATAAATTAGTGTAAATGGATTTTTATAAACACCGCATTTCTTCTAAAAAAAAATTCCCGAAAAAGCCTTAAATTTCAGGGCGTCAAAGTGGTGTTACTTTAAAAAACTAGGTAACAAATTGAAAGAGTAAATTATATACATGAAAATTTAAATATATTTTAATTCATTACAAACATCAAGTTTTTTAAAAATTTGTTTTTTAAGAATATTTATAATTTATAAAACGTTTTGCGAAGTGTTAAATAACAACTTTCTCTTGGATAATAGCGTCATAATTTGGAGCATCGTATTTTCGGAGCTCCGTTACTACATTTAGTATCTATACGTATTTCGTACGCGCTACGCTTTCGAGAGATCCCTCGGATCTCTCTTACGAAATCGCGGAAACCGTCGCAATGGAATGCGTGCCGTCTTAATATTCTCATACGCGGATGTGCGGGCACCAAGTCGTGCACCAGGAGCACCAAGTCCGTCGCGATATTAACGGAAGTTACGCTTCTATAGGACTCGGTCGGGACTGCAAGACCGGCGTTGTTGGCCGACAAGCCAACCCTCCTATTATTAGCCATTCTGCAACGTCGCGCGTTTAACTTCTGCGACGGAATGCACTTACAAAATATGAAATTCAAAACTGCTGAAGAATACTCTGAGATAGGCGAAAAATTGGTTATTTATAACTGCCTTTCCATCCAGCGTTAAATATTTCAAGAATCAAATCCCAAATCGAGATCTTATCGAAGACAAATGGAGACAATCATTTCGCTCTATTTGAACTTTCGTGGAGTCATTAAAAAAATTATCTGCACCAATTCGTACGCGTGCGAAATTTAAAGTAGAAAACAATAATCTTAGAAAGGTATGGCACCCAATTCATTTACGGTGTTTTACTTTAATTAACGTATCCCCGTGTATCTTCCCTCTCGGCCGCTCGCGAACTCGGTGTTACTCTCTCCGGTAATTTGACAAATTCCAGCGCCGCACGTATCCCCGGCCGAAGGAGTTTATAAACAGAGGGGCACGGTGGCCGGCTTGATCCCATCGTAAACCGACGCGTGATGCGGAGGGTTCAAAATTAGAAAGTGCCGAGCGATCTCGCGCATCTTCTCGCCGCGCGCGCCTCTCGGTTTCTCCTCGTTTTCGAGACCGCGCGATATCCGAAATCGCGAGCGAAATTTTTAAGACCGCTGGCACCGGTTCGCGTTCGCGTTCGCAGTATACCTATATATTCGCCTTCGGGTCTCTTTCGCGCTGTTTAATTTAATCTCCCTCCCCGTCCGCATCGTTCTCCCGCGATTCTATCTTGCTTTTTCTCCTTCTCTTTTAACGTTCTCGTCTAACTCGCTCTCTCTCTCTCTCTCTCTCTCTCTCTCTCTCTCTTTCCGCTCGTCTCTCTCGCTCTTCCTCTTTCGTCTTCGTCTAGGTAACTTTCGGCGTAGGCAGAACTACGCCAAACTTTGCAGTAACGGTACACTTATTGTTAGCAGCTCTCCCTCTCTCTTCGCTCTTTCTGTCGATCACACCATAAAGATACCGCGAAGATACAGTTCAGTGATCGTTAAGTAAATCCTTTTACACATCAAAATTAATATTTTTCATCGATCGATCGAGAATCGTTGATAAATATCTAAAAATAATACACGCCGCTACGAGCGAACGATACTAATTTTAGCATTATTACTAACAATATATTATTAATATCGCATCGTATTTATAATATTACTATTATTAATATGCAGCACATATAAAGTTCAGCAGTGGAGTCAATGCGGTTGGATTAGAAATCAAGTGTTTTGTCAATCAACGTCGATTCGTTTAAGCGATTCAAGACGAAACGGTTAGCGATTCTCGAAATGGATGGCATTTCAATATATGGCGTCGATTACCGCGCGTGTTTAAATTCACACACGAAATTTTACCCACACGTATTTTACGATTGCGCGAGAATATACTAATTAATTCGTGCGATTGCGAGTCGGATACCTGTAAGAAACACGGAAAGAACGATTTT